TCGTAGATGCAGCCAGCAGCAGTGGCGGCTTATGTCCATCAGCCGACGAGATGTTTGGCACCATGGCCGCTCAACCAGCTCCTCAGGCTGCAGCAGCAGGGGCCGCAACAGCAGGCAGCTTGTTAGTGCCGCAGCGTGCGCCCGCGGTGGCGGTGCAGCCGCTACCGGGCTTGACCAGTGAGACAGCCTATTTTGCGTGCGTGGTGGCACAAGATGCCACACAGCTGCGCAACCGCCAGAGCACTGTGCAGCGCGTTGATTTCACCACACTCGATATCACGCCACCAACAGTCACAGTCACGCTGGCTGGTGCTGCCGATGGCGATGTCGCCTGCTCACACGACCCGCCCTACTTGTGCAGCTTGACCTGGAAGGCTGCACTGTCAGAAGCAGGCGCAGCCCACTGGGTGCTGCTGCACAACGACAGCTCGGCTCCCTTGGCAGCGCTGCCAACAGCGGTGGCGCTGTTGTCTCAATCACCAGCCCAGCTATTTCCCAGCCCTCAAGCCACAGCAGTGATGGCACAGGGCAACCTGAGCTTTCCTCCTAGCCCCAGTGCAGCCGTGCAGCTGACCGGGCTACCCAGCAAGGCATCCTACCTGCTAGTGGTAGCCCCACGCGACAACGCCGTGCCAACACCAAACGTGCCTGCGGCAGCAACGGTTGTGGCAGTCACTGCACCTGACGTGCAGCCGCCCACCTTCCTGCAGTATGGTCTTTCTGGTGCCAACGACGCCGCCCTCATCTTCACGGTGGCCCTGGACGAGGCCGGCATCACAGCATACGTGCTACTGCCCAGCCCCTCCGTAACACCCAGAGCGACAGATGTGTTTGGTGGACAGGCCAGTAACGGGACAGCACTTGTCTCAACAGGCAATTTCAGCTGCAGTACGGCCAACACCAGCACCTCATTCACGGTTGGAGGTCTCAAGGCGGGCGTCTTGTACGACCTCCACATGGCGGCAGTCGACACGGCCAATAACCGCCAGCCAAATGTCACAACCATCAGGTGGGTTTCCTTGGTATCAAAATTCAGATGCAAATAGAGGACAATTGCTCACAGCGAGCCTGGATGCTTGAACTTGCGCGCAGGCTCAAAGTCTCATGCGACCGCTGCTGACAGGCAACCCCCCACCGCCACAACTCGCAACACAAAACCCAACCCACAGAGGTGTGCGCACCACTGACTCGATACCGCCAGTCATTGCGGCGCTTACTGCCACCTGGACAGAGCCTGCCAGCCTCCAAATTACCACAACTATCTCAAAGCCGGGGGCACTACGGTTTCTGGCGCGTCGTGCAGGCGAGGCGCCGCCCACCGATGCCCAGGCTCTGCTGGGGGCTGTAGCTGCCAACAGTCTGGCTGCAGCAAACTTTACTGGCAGCGTGCCTGTGCCAGCGGCCAACATGCCAGCTGGTGTTGTGCTGTGCATCGCTGATGGCGACCAGATGGTCCTGTACGCCGTGGCTCAAGACAGCGAGGGCGACCATGCTGGGCGCTGGCCCAACAACAGCACTATAAGCAGGTGTGCGTGGCCGCGACCATTGGCCAATCATTTGGAGACAAATACAGCAGGCAACAATCCTGGAAGACTGATTGTCAAATCACTAATTATTTTGGGGTTCCAACTATTTAACGGGGTCACGCTATCCTTCCAAGCAAACTCAAGTTGCCCCTGCTGCAATCAACCCCCGATGCAACTGTGCGTAGTGCCACCATCACCCTGGTTCCAGCTGGCGACTCGTCCACTTGCGACCCCACCCAATTCTTGGCTGCACTGCAGCCAACGATTGGCTTTGGTCTGGCCTACCCGGGCTTTGCCCTCGGCCCCATCAATGCCAGCACCAATGCCGCGGGGGGCGTAACCTGGACCCAAGCTGTGGGTGCCTTCATGCGCCAGTCGCCAGCACGGCCCGCCCAAGCTCTGGCAATGGCAGGCGCCGTGGCTCTGAATGGAGGCATCTCAATTCCCATCATTCCGTAAGTATGCTGCTCACTTTGGAAATTTCGTGTGGTCTATGGGCGGTTTGATGTTCCTGGGAATGCAGCACCAACATCCTTTATGCATTATTGGCCGACCTCTCCATTGCTGTACTAATTTCAACAGGCGGCCACCAGTGAACGTGTCTGTCCTCATATGCAGCCCCGAGCTTGTGGCAGTTGGGGGCACCAGCAGCAGCGGCGGCGGCGGCGGTGCGGCTGCCGACGCTGGGGACTCACTGCGGCTCAGCTTTCAGCTGCGCGATGTAGTGGGGCGTACTGCAGTCAACCTGACAGGCGTGGTGATTCGACCACTGCTTGTGTTTGCTTCAGGCAGCTTACCAGCTGGCCTCAACACCACGTCCAACGAGCTGCCTAGCTGTGATGTGGAGGCTGTTGGTGACCTGGTCAGCGGCATTGGCGAGTGCTCTGTGTCAGTGTCACCAAGATTCTTCCCTGGAGCCGGAACCATTGATGCAAATGTGCAAGTCGAGCTGCACATAGGGTGAGCCACATGGGAGGTCACGTTGCTTTTGCTGTCTGCCATGCAAGCCTAGGCCAAAATGACCCCAGGCTAAAGTTCTTTGACCACATCCGACAGGCCTTGCATGATGGCCGCTCTCCCACCCACCCATGCACGCCTTTGTGCGCAGTGCAGACCCGCACGCACTTTGGGCCTTCGTGCACGCCTGCTTTGAACGGTGCACAATGGCCAATTGAGTCCCAGTCACACAACGCTGATGCTTCAAAGTTGAATCCCATGAGCCTGGATGGCTCCAGAAGCAGGGGGACCGTGGTGTCATGTATTAATCCTCATCCTGAACCGCCTACCCACCCACCTATCCACCACCCCCCCCCCCACACACACACCCCTTCCCCCAGCGCTGCTATTGTGGCTACAACCGCCGCCCTACCAGTGAAGCTGCAGGCATCTCCAGCCTACACGCCCTTTACGCCCAGCAGTCCCGGCATCCTGGCCACGTTGCCGGCACGACCCCTGCACACGGGAGAGACATTCACCGTCACCCTGAATGCAGTCAACCCGCTGCCTCAGGGCCTGACCGGCTGGAGCGCCCCGGTGCAGTACAACAACTTGCTGGTGGAGCTCACTGGGGTGCAGCAGAGTGGCCTCTGGCTGCAGGCCGTCACCAGTGACGCCAGCGTAGTGGGAAGCAACACAGTGCGCACAGTCACAGTCACTGCGCGCGCCGTCAGCCAGCCGCCACAGGCCTACCGCACCAGCAGCAGCATCCCCCTGGCACAGCTGACGTTTGTTGTGCGCACTGCTGTTCCAGGGACTTACTCGGGAACCATCGCACTTGCAGCGGGCGCCTTGCTGGCGCCTGCGTGGGTGGCGCCACCAGTTGCGTTCCACGATTATCGCGGCGGCACGCAAGCATCAGGCTCCATCAATGTCACCACAACTCGAGGCCTAGGAATGTGGGCCTGGGCAGAGCGCGGTGACGTCTTCAACACTGCGCGCGTAACAGGCTTGCGCGTCGCGACGCAGCTGTATGCGGCATACGTGCGCACCTGGGGCGCACCGGCAGCTGTGGTGGTCTCGCCGAGCAGCTGCAGCCTGGCTGGCGGCAGCAGCGGCGGAGCAATCTCGCTTGACGGCACGGCGTGCGTTGTGAATGTGGATGCGGTCAATGCACAGCCAGCCAAGGACCTGGCATTCACACTGGGCTACAGCGGCAGTTATGCTACAACTCTGCTCAGCGTGTGGCAGCCGACAAGAGCGGCGGTTGAGGCGGAGGACCCAACCCTGAACAGCGTGCTGCCGCTCAATGCTGCGCCCCTGGCCGCGGGCTGCACAGACAGCTACCAGGCCACGCGCCTGCATGCTTGGGCAGATTGGTCCAACGGCGGCAGTGCGCCCGGTGACACCATCACCGGTGCTGACATCACAGGCCTGGCAGCTTTTACCAGCAACGACAGCAGCGTGGCGCTTGTTTTGGGCGCCGTGGCGCGGGGCATCTCGCCAGGCACGGCTTCTCTCGGCCTCGCCAGGCTTGTGCCCGCGGCATCTCCAGCAGCGGTCTTGGTCACAGACACGCCTGCGTGCCTGATGGCCCTGGAGGCCCTTGCCACCACAGGGGTGGAATTCGTGGGCACACCGCCTGGATTGCTGCCAGGCTCAGTTACATCGCTCAAGTGGAGCGCAGTCCAGCGGCTGGATTGGGAAGGGGTGACGGCGCGTGTAGTGACGTACGCACAATTCAGCGATGGGAGCACCGTTGACGTCAGTGATCGCGCAGCACTGTCGCTGGCCATGCCATCAGGCGGCGCAGCTGCAACAGCAGCGCCACTGCCCTTTGCGCTCTCGACCGATGCAGCAGGCGCGTCGCTGGTGACAGTGAATGCCAGTGTTTCAGGCAGCGGCGCTGTCTCGCAGTGCGGCGCGTTCTTGGCAGCTTCCTGGGAGGTGTGCTCGCGGCCGCTTGGCGTCGGCACAGGCAAGCTTGTACTGGCCCTGCCAGCACCGGTCGCCATCACTGACCTGGCTGCTGAGCCGGCCGTCATCACCTCTGCCACTGATCCTGCGGCACTGCCGCCCATGTCGCTGCCCACCAGCTCAGCGCTGTCCCTGACGGTTTCTTTTGACGACGGCAGCGTGCGCGATTTCAGTGCTGATGCACGTACCAACTTCACAGTCACAGCCGGGGCCACATTGTGCAGCACCACTGGAGGTGGGAGCAGCGGCTGGACGCTTCAAGTGGTGGCTGGCAGCTCCGGCTCCCTAGGAGACAGCTGCACCGTCACGGCTTACGTCGCATTTGAAGGCTCGGCTACGCCGCTGAGCGCCAGCGTCACCGTCGCGGTCGTAGGGCTGCGAACGTTACTGCTGTATACCCAGCCGCCAGCAGCAGTTGCCCCGCCAGCACTGCCGCCGGCTGTGGCGCCGCTTGGTGCGACGCTGCGGCTGCTGCGATGCGATGCGCGAAACTTTGACCAGGCGACGCTGTGGCCGACCGCGGTGCTGACCAATTGCAGTGCACAGCCAGGCGCATGCCCCATGGCTGATCTCAGCAACCACAATTGGGTGGACTTCAACAGCAGTGACTCGGCTATCTTTGACGTTGTGCGTGGCTACCCTTCAGACCCAGGTGAGTTTCAGGTGTGGCACTTGTTGATGAACGCTCAGCGTGCTGCACAGGCGCTTCACTTGCCCCGTTTGCTGTGTGGGTTCCCACCAGCCCCAAAACGACCTGAGTTGGTGTTGCACCATTGGCACACTCAAATAGGTCTTGCGGCGGCAGCGCGACCTGATCCCTTGGATATTGAATTGTTTGTCCATCGCACATCCTCTCTCCAACAATTCGGCAGGCTATGCCACATATCCGCTCCTAGACAACCGCCTCGTGCCCTCTGCTCCGGGATCCGCCAACCTGACTCTGACCTTTGGCAACGCCAGCACCGTCGTGGCCGTCAACGTGCAAGACACCTACCAGCCCACGTGGCCACGCGCCGGCAACGCCACAGACACCACCCTGGAGATCACCGCCAACATGACAGGGGATTACACCATCGTGTTCAGGGCTGTGCCCAGCGCAGGCCTGGACTTGGCGGGCGCCCCACCCAGCGCAGCCGACATTGAGGGCAGTGGCGCTGTGACCTTGGTAGCAGACGCGGCACGAGGGCCGCATTTCTATGCTGCCAACGCCACAGGCCTCACACCTGGCACCAACTACACCGTGCTGCTGGCGGTGCGCAGTGGCCTGGCGCTGGCCACCGGTGTCACCGCGCTGTCGGGGGCACTAGTGCCGGACACGCAGCCGCCCAGCTTCACGGCTGCGTGGCTGGTCAGTGGTGGCGGCGGGGCCAATGCAAGCACAGGGTCATTCAGCGTGGCCCTTGACCTGGGACTGGACGAGCCGGGAGCTGTGAGCTTTGCAATTTACGGCGACCCAGCCTGCATCACCGGTGAGCAGGGCAGTGTGCGCAAACGATGCTGCGTGGCCAGGGCTCAGCTCGGAATGCAGACGTTTTGGAGGGGGGGTGGTAGGTAACGTGGAGAGCTAGAAGCCTGGCGGGGTAATGTATGCTTATGTCGACATGCGTGCCTGCACGGATGCAGGCCGGCCTCATTCCACCTTGCCCTTGTTTACGCACCCGATCCCTCCATCAGCTGACCCCACCGAGGCCGAGCTGAAGGCAGGGGCCAATCTCCAGGACGCCAGAAAGTGCACCTGTGGCAGTCGCTACTGTGCACCTGTGGCGTACGGCAGGCTGCCCTTTGCTGCTAGCGCAGGGCTTCGTGATGTTGTCACTCTCAGCGGAGAGCTGCCTGCGAACCCCTATGAACCGCTGCGCGACGCGACAAGTACCAGCCTCGTGTGCGCAGCACCATGTGAGTATGCAGGAAGTGCAAGACAGCGCATGTGAGCAGTATTCGTGCAACCTGCCTTGCGCTGCGCAGCCTGCAATGCCTCACCCAACCCAATGCTTCTCAATACTGCCACGTCTTGACCACTGCCTTGTACCCAGGGTACCCTGTGTCGTATGCTTCTCGAGCCCACACCCTGTACCTGTTGGCAGAGGACGACCTGCCAACATACAAGGGATGGACCAGCGCCTGCGAGCCGCCAGTGTATGACACCTCGGGCCTGGCTGGGCCCTGCGACCCCGTCACCACTACGCCATGCAACAATACACCGCCTGCCCTTGAGGCAAACAACCGCCAACCACTGCCATACTCACCTTGGGACGCCACACTTGCGGGCAGCAGCGCGCCGACCCTGCCAGCAGGCACGCCCCTCAGAGCACCGCTGGTGATGACAGATGATGCAAGCATGACATTCACAACAGCAGCGCTCACCAGCGTGGGAGCTGGTGGTGAGCGTGCGCTGATCTTTACCTTTGCTTTGTCACGGCCGGGCCTGGTTCGGTACCAATTGGTGCGCAATGTGGTTGAGGTGCTGGCCTGGGGGATGTTCCCGGTGTTTGACACCGCTTATACCTACAATGTTTCCATCAGCCGTGACTGCACTGGGGCGCAGCTGGTTCCAGGCACTGCTTATGGGCTGTGGCACAACGCATCTGATATCTATGGTGGCTTTTCCCCGCTGCGCATGCTGTCGGCAGTGCTGATGTAAGTCCTGCCTCCAGAGTGCACGTCGCTCTGTTACCGCCTGCGTCTGCTTTCTGTGCACCAGCCTGCTGCCTCTGCGCGGGCTGTTTTGCGAGGTTGTAATCACTGTACCCTTCACATACACCAGCAAACCATTCAATGCAACTTGGGCCCAGAGTTTGTTACTAGAGGCATATGCGTTCACATACAAGCGAGGTTGTGAGCACGGCGAGCGACATGTCACACAAACAGACACAACAGCGGCTTGCATAGCATCGACATGCCTGACCTACACAAAAGCGCAAGTGCGAATGCAGGCAAAATGCCACTGCCTTCATGCGGCCGCCCGCCGCTTGCCTGTTCTCCCTTCATATGCGCGCTGCTGTTGTCGCTGGCTGCTTGCTGGAATTGGCAACCAAGGCGACGGCGCTGCAGCCACTGCAGCCAGGCCTTGATTTGCGCACACGCTTGGTTGTTGTTGGGCATTGTCGGCTGCAGAGAACACAGCCGCTACAAGCAGCAGCAGCAGCAGCAGCAGCAGCAGCAGCAGCAGCAGCAGCGGCGGCAGCGCTCCACGCACAATGCAAGCCCTTGCCATTTGTATCAGCAAACAACAGGCACGCTGCTGCTTCGGCGCAAGCACTCCCAAGTCGAGCACAACGCACGGCTTGCAAAAGCGCAGGCGGCTTGGTCAGTGCAAGCTGGCGCGGCCTTGCCTCTGTGATGCACCGCCGCAGCCGCGCTGCAGCGATGCCGCCTCCACGTGTTGATTGTGTTGGGTTGAGTCGCCATCGAGTGCCTCCAAGGTGGTAGCCCCAACCAAGGGGTGGTTTGTTGGATGCTGGATGACACTCACGCATGACACGGGCAAAGACCAGCCACAGCGGCAATCCCACAGGCGCCAAAGCGATGCAAGGCGGGACGCATGACGCACGCGGCTGAACGCCACCAGGCCAAGGCAGCAGCGCAGGCAGCAAGGCGTGCCAGCAAACGCAAACAGAGGCACAAAACCTGTGTGGGTGCTGGTGCAGTCGACGTGCGCAGAGGAGCCTGCACCGCGAAGTGGCGTCAGAGCGTGTCGGCACAATGCATGACGGAACGACTGCCTTGTATGGTGGCCGGCTGAGCAGCAGGGCAAGCAGCTGTGTTTCAAGGCGCATTCCACAGCTGAGGCATCGCTTGGCCGCAAAGCATGAAGCGCTTGCAAAACGCTGTGCGCAGGGCAGTGTAAGGCTAACCCAGTGTGCATCCCGCACCAGGCACCGTGGGCTACGAACAATGATGCGTAATGCCACGCGCTAGGGGGTAAAAGCCCGCCGGGCGCGCTTGTCGCGAAAAACATCATGGGGGCAATCGACACGTGAAATCAGCCCGCCAAGGCTGCTTTGGGAGCAGTCGGCTCCCTATGAGAGGCAGTCTGCAGTGCCACAGAGTGCGGTGCTCAGCTCGACCCCCAACCCCACCGGACCACCCTGGCGCCCCCCGCTCCCCTGCCCTGCTCCTGCTGGCGACGCTCAGGGCATATCCGCAGGCTTCTCCCACTGGCTGACGCCCGTCTGCGAGTTGTAGTAGTAAGTGCGGCCCTGGTCGTCAGGGATCGCCTGCCACACGGAGGCAGCCGCGCCGCCTGCGCCCACCCCACCAGCTGGTCCGCCATACTGCTGCTGGGCCCCCACAGCGGCACCCCCGCCGTAGCCGCCTGCGCCGCCGTAAGCCGCTGCATCGTACCCGCCGCCCATGGCGTAGCCTCCATAGGCCGGCATGGCAGCCGGGGGCATACCCATGCCGTAGCCCCCGTAGGGCGGCATCATGCCGCCATAGGGCATCGCGCCATACATTCCTGGCATGCCCATGCCGTAGGGGCCGGGCATGCCGCCGCCGCCATAACCGGGGCGCGGGCCCATGCCGCCGCCACCGGGGCCGCCGCGAAAGCCGGGCCCCATGCCGCCGCCGCCGCCCATGGGCATGTCTGGGTGCATGATGATGTGGTTTATCTCCGCCTGGCAGGCCTCGGCCTCGTGGGGCGACGCGATGATGGTGATGTCCATGGGGTCAGTGGACTGGTTGATCTGCACGCTGGCATTGTACTTGCGCTGCAGCATCTTGACAGTCTCGCCGCCGCGGCCGATGATGCGGCCCACGGCGCTGCGTGGGCACTGCAGCTTGATGGTCTTGCCGTGGCCATACTGTGAGGGTAAAGTGTTTGAAAGGGGATGCAATGGACAACAGGATTAGGGGCCAGGGATTGATGCCACGGATGGGGGGCACGCAGGAGGAAGGGGTGGGTGTGCAAAGGCGAGCCCGGCACCGCCCAGTTCGGCCCACTCGCTGCTGCTGCCCACAGCAGCCCCCGGCCTTTCCTCCTCCGCGATGCGCAACACCGCACTGTGAGCCACCCTCTGCACCACCACCCCCCTGGCCCCACTGCCCCACCTTCTGGATGACGCTTTGCACGGTGTTCTGGTCGCTGGCGATGAGGTCGCGGATCATGTTGGCGGCGCGCTCCACCGAGTCGTTGCTGCCTGACACCGTCACAATGCGGTCCTCCCCGTCGGGGAAGTTCTGGTTGACCAGGATGTAGGCACCACTGGCAGCCTGCAGCAGCTTGATTGTCTCGCCTGCGCGCCCGATGATGCGCCCCACCACGGCCTGAGGGCAGCGCACGTCGGTGCTCGTCTCCCCAGACGCCGGCGCAGCCCCGGGCGCATCGGCGGCCAGCACCGCCTCGACCTGCGCCTTGGCGCTCTCCACCTGGGCGGCGGTGCCCTTGATCGTCACGCGCCTGCACTCGCCACCACGCGTCGCTGTCGCCTGGTCCACCTGGATGGACGCGCCGGTGGACGCCTGCAGGCCCATTATGGTGGCGCCTGCTTTGCCGATGAGCTTGCCAATCATGGTCTTGGCGATGTGCAGCACCTCGCTCACAGTGCCGTCCGGGTGCACCGTGTACTCGCGGTCGTCAGGCGAGTGCCCGGCCGGCACGCCCGCGCCCGTCCCAGGGTTGCCACCGGCAGGGCCAGGGTTGCCAGCAGCCGCCTCGTCCGCGGCCGCGGCCGGGGCCGCACCCTCGGCCGGGGGGTCGGCGGCGGCGCCGCCGGCATTGTCAGGGCAGTCGCCACCATCCGCAGCAGCCTCCACTGGCGCGTCCTGCTGCGCTGCCTCTGCAGTGGCGGCAGGCAGTTCGTCGGCGGCAGGCGGATCTTCCTCATCCTCGGCCTGCCGTGAACGCGCAACACAGCAGAGAGCGGCAGAGACAGACAGGTGACGGAAGATAATTTGATGACTTATGCCAGGCTAAGCTCGGCTTGGATGGATGGGTGCGACAGCAGTGAATGCCCCTCCCTCCGCTCCGAGGTCCTCAGAGGAGTTCAGCAGACCCTTCCCTTCAACAGCCTACCCCAAAACAAAGTTCTGTGAGGTGCCCTCACGTTGTGGTTGGGACGCTTGGCGGTGGGCTCCTGCTCGTCCTCGTCGTCCCCGCGCTCACGCTTCTTCAGCCCGGCCTCCTCGGCCTGCTCGGGAACTGCTTCCTGCTGCTGTTCCTCCTGCTGCTCCAGATCCGACACGGGCGCTGCCGCGTCCTCTGCCATGATGCTTGTGTGATCTGGGTGGCTGCTGGCTGTTTGGCTGCTGCCTGCGTAATATACTTGACGACCTACTTGCACAATCAATTCTGGTACGTCTGCTTGCGATGTATGCAGGGATGTCCGTTTTGGCGGGGAGGTTGGCGCAGCTGCTTGTCCAGGTCTTTCAGTCGACCGCACCGGCCCACACAGCACGCTGGCCTCCCATTGGGGCCTTGACGGACGCACCCACCGTGGACTGACGCACCCACCATGCAAACGACAGTGAAGAAAGTCAGAAGCGTATGGAATTTAAAAAGGGCATGCACAGGAGCCAGCTCAGCTCCTGTAGTATAGCTCCATAGGGGCGCCTGAAGCCCAGCTATCCATAAATGGGCGGTCGCGCCGCGGCACGGCGCCAAGCTGACACTCCTTCACAGATCATGATTTCTTGTTGCCAACGTACTGAAGTGCTCACAAAGCTAAATCAACCTCATTGCCATTACAAGAGTGTCCGCATGGCCTGGTTAGTGATGAAGTACTCACCCCCAGTGGGCGACCGCTTCAGGATGAATGACTCAGCAAACGGAACGCTCAAGGCCGCCGCCCCGCCGCTGCTGCTGCCAGAGGCTGTGGCCGTGCCCAAGTCAGGGCCGTCATCGCCGCTGCAGCTACATTCGCCGCTGTTGGCTGTCCATGCTGCTGAGCCGCCTGCATCCCGGCCGCTGCCGCCGCGCGACACCCTGCCGTCCACATGCACCAGGATTGTTCCGTCCTGCAAATAAAAAGTGAGTGGCAGAAAAATGCAGCATATCCAAGAGCCAAGACGGGACCCGCGTCAACATGGCACTTCAAACGGTCCTGAAACGTCAGGTCAAAGGACAATCATCAATCACACCCTCTGTCCCCAGCCCCACCGAACAAAGCTACGCCACCCACCACGCCCAATGGCTGCGAGTCCACCGTCTTGATGTGCCACACTGCGTCGCTCGCCCCTGCCGCTGCGTACTGCTGCTGCCGCGCCACAATGGCCTCGCGCCCGCAGCACACAGTGCCCTCGTGGTGAAGCACCTAGCGCCCGCACGGGTAAGAGGAGAGAGATGTGGTATGCTGTTCGTTGCGTTGCCCTCGCGCCACGAGTGCGAGCGCACAGACAATCAAGGGGAAAACGTCTATGACGGCTCAATCCTCCCCTGCCTTACCGAGGTGGAGGAGTAGAGGCCTCCAAGCCGCCGCAGGCCCTGCGGCCCCTTTGACAGCGAGGCGTAGTACATCCAGGCAAACTGGAACGATATTTCATCCATCCTGGTGCGGTGGTATGGTGCACGACAAGAGAGTGGCGAGGAAGGAGGCTATTACCCAAGGCAGGGCCAGCAGGAGTCGTGCAACCATTCATCGGCAACAACGGATGCGTGCCCGAGCCGCCCCCGCCATCACAGACGACGCAAGCTGGTAACCACAAGCACGCTGCCCCAAGAACATTGTTCGATGCGCACCTCTCCAGGGGGTCCACCATGACAGACATGAAACGCCGACCCTCCCCTGCATCGCCAGCCCCTGGGGCACCAACCGCGTGCCGCGTCACAAATGGGTGCTGCAGCAGCTGCTCGGCCCTTGGTCGCCGCTTGGGGTCAAGTGTGAGGCAGCAACGCAGGAAGTCGCGCAGTTCCTCGCTGCACTTGCCGGCTGGTGGCAGTGGTGCCTCGTCGTGCAGGATCTTCAGAGGGGTGGGGGATAGGGAGGTGGGTGGCAGAGGGTAGGGGAAGACGCCGGCTCCTATGTGGCTGACACAGCAATTTGAGCCACACCAGAGAGTGTTTGATCGCGCTCAGGGTGACCTCCTGGTGCCGCCATCAGCGTGTCACCTGTATCATGAGCTCCACTGGGCCGCTGTGCGCGTCGTAGGGGTAGCGCCCCGTGGCGGCCTCCACCAGCACCAGGCCCAGGCTCCTGGAACGGGGGAGGGCGGCAGAGGGCGGGCAGTTGGGGTTCATGGGGAGGTATGACGTCCAGGGCATTTTTCACACAGTGTAGGCTGGCAGCCAATATTACCAGCTTGAGCGCTTTCTCGCCAGGCCCTGAGACGTTGCACCCACATCTTCGTACCACTGCTTCAGCACAACAAGATCTTGCCGGCTGCAACAACTAGCCGCTTGCCCCCTACCCCACCCCACCCCCCCTCCACACCATATGTCTGCTGGGAAGCTGTATGGCTTGCCTTCAATCCGCTCGGGTGACATGTAGGTGACCTGGTGAGCGGTCGGGGCACATGTATTTGCACAGGTCGACATATTGACGGCGGCAGGCACCGGCTGATGCTGACCAGCCATCAGCGAGCCGAGCAGAAGTGCAATGGCATTCATGCATGCCCTCTGCAAGCTCATAAATGCAACAGGCAACAGCCCCGCGCACCGTGCCCGTGAATGTGTTGCACTGCGTGGACGAGCCGGGCAGTGAAGGGAGTGGGCGGGCTCAGCTATGACGGGTGGTGAAGGGACGTGAGTCCATGTGCATTCCCTCAAGCAACCAACAGTGCCAGCCGCAGGCTCACTGGCCCGCGCACGTTTGCGACGGTGTTGGCCACAAACGCGCTGATGCCAAAGTCTGCGATCTTGGCCTCCCCCTGCAGGCTCATCAGGATGTTTGCAGGCTGCAGGCGGCAAGTGGGGCGATGGCGCTGGTTGAGTTGGCTGTGTTGATAGTCACTGAGCAGTGCAATTGTGCAGGGCAACGTGACATTATGACACGCGGAGGCGGCTGTGGCGGAATAGTGAGCCGTGGTGCTCTTGTGACCTCCCAGCGGTACCTTGATGTCTCTGTGCACCTGGGGAAGGGAACAGCAGCAGGGACAGTGACGACGCATCAGCTTCCGCACATCATGAGGAGCCCCAGGTCAATGCAAGGAGCAGAGGTGGCAGGCTCCTCCATCCCCCACCCTCCATCCTCCATAACGTTCTGATCCAAGCTGCATGCAGAGCAGTTGAACGCCCCTTGGACAACCCACCAGGTGCTTCCTGTGCAAGAAGGCCAGCCCCTGCAGCACGCGCGCTGTGATGCGGCTGAGGATGCCCTCGGGTATCACTCCAACCTGCAGGGGGGGTGAAAAGGGTGTCCAGTTCGCGCGCGCTGTGCCTCCTGACCGATGTGAGCACCCTCGCGCACAAGTTTGCTGCTGCCCAGCATGTTTCTAGACGTGTGGGCTCCCAGCTCTTCGCAAGGCTAGTTGGAAGGGTCCCAGGGGGCTGCATGCTCTCCCGGCCGCCCTCCACTCTCGGCCCTGCCTACCTTGCGCAGCACATCCGCCAGGGATCCCCCGTCCATGTACTCCAGCACAATTGAAATCTGAGGCTGTGGGGTTGCAGCCAAGGCAAAAGCAGAGGCCCTTCTGGGTGCGACAATAACGCCGCCACCATCCCTTATGGTTTATAATGGGCAACCACCAGCATCCCTGATAAACAGACCTCCCTTGCTGCCACACCTGGCCGCTGTCTGGCACGTGGTATGCGCCGTAAAAGTTGATGAGGCCCGGCACGTTCGGCGCATCGCACAGCGCCTTGACGTCGTTCATCATCTGCTGGCGCGTCTCCTGCAAAGGGCGTGTGCGGCACAATGGCAACTTCTGAACAGAATGAGGCAGCAATAATCGCTGTGTCCTGAGTTGTGTGCTGCAGAGCGGGTTCCATGGACCTCCAATTACCCCTCCCTCGCCCCCAGGCACACACACCAGTACTCACCTTCTGCAGGATGTTGATCTTCTTGAGCGCCACAAACTTGCCCTCGCGAATGAGGAAACTCTTGAACACCTAGGTGACAATTTTACGCCGATTGCATTGTTGATTGCATCACAAGACTGTGTGAGGCATAAAAGCGCAACAAACATAACTTGACGGATGGCACTCTTACGACAGAAAAGCAACCCCAGGTGATGTGACGGCCTTGCGGCAAGCCTCAATCAATTGCCTCTGCACACGCACCACGCTGCTGGCGCCGCGGCCCAGCGTCTTGATGACAAACATGTCTGCCTCTGACACCTGCGGACCAACGCACACGCGTTTGAAGTTGCAGCTGGCTGTGGGTACAACTGCTGTTCCGCAGGTTGGGGAAAATCAACAATGCAGGCAGGATGTTTGGTCCCACCACCCACCCTGTAGTGGTGCTGGGGCTGCTGCCTGCTGGCTGCCTTGATCATGCCTTCTGAGCTGAACTGATAGGGCGTGATGGACTTGCTCAGCACTGTCACGGCTCCGTTGCTGCCCATTTCAAATGAGTCCTGGGTGATAACAGAGGTTGTCAAAGATGTGTGTGTCGAAGAAGCCCATTGCAGGCAAAGCCCACACCACTGCATTCTGCTGCCTGCACGAATCGATGTCACTCGCCATCCCCCCTCACCCGCAGCATGTTGCGTGCAGCGTCAGGCCGGGTCGGCGCTGCATCCGGCGGGCCAGGCGGTGAGGCTTCGCCATCCGCGGGCAGCTGCAGTGAGAGGCCGAAGCTCTTGCGTGGCGGCATTGGTTTTGCTGCGTCCTTCGGGCACGGTTTAGCTAGGGGCTGTACTGTATGTGATGATGATCAAGAGGCGGAGCCACTCATAATGTAATGAGCACTATTCTGCCTCTATTATTTTGCGATCAGCGTCCTCTGCGCGTCCAACCCCAGATCAACGCAAATGGCGGGGTCCACTGTGCTTCGGTAAAAAGTGTGCGGTGGCAGGTATTCAGGTAAATGTAACGTTATATCTATAAATGCATGCGCCGCGCAGTGGCTGCGCTGCACAGTGCCGACGGAGTGACGTTGATCACCCGACGTGCTACTCAGAAACACACAGTGTATATGAAAGCGAGTATCCCCTGGTTTGACTTCCTACGCGAGCCTCTTGTTTGGGCATTCGACACATTGGAAGTGAGCACACACGTATGATACCCATTTGACTTGGTGCAAAGGGATTGCCCTCTACATACAAGCCCATTTGACTGCATCTTTCACCTGGTGCACTGCTCATTACTCTGGCCATAAGTATGATAAGCGCAAAGGTTTAATGCGATACACAGGCATGGACCGCAACATCCAGGAGCGCCGACCGGGCGTACAGCCTCACCGAACCGCCAGTCCACCCAGCTGTGACTGAGTGACGCCACACCATCGGCCACATACTTGCCGGCAGGCGAGCTGTTGTCTATGTGAACCTCCCCGACATGTAGTTGATTCGACACAATCATTTGGTGCTGTGGACTTGAAAGCCACTCGCTGTCAGCCTTTGCTTTCGCTGAAAAGCCGATCACAGCACGCACGGCGATGCAGAGCCTCAGGAGCGGTGCCCACATTCTATCTGGTGCGATATGATCAGCAGTGCCATGCGGACCAGGGGTGTCGACAAGCCCTGGCACGTCATCGGAGAGATTGGCTTTCTGCTCGTGTCGCGAAAGTGCGATTAGCGGAGTACTGCGTTTGTCAATGTACGCGCTCTGCCCTTGAGAACGCGCGCCTTTGCAGGGTCCAGGCACAGCCGCATCAGGAGTGTTGCCGCACATGCGCAGCTGTCGGGCGGCCCGCCCCTCAAGCGGCCAGAGCTGAAACGGCCAGACCAGCCATCCACAGCAGCGGCGCCGATGCCTTCCAAAGCAGCAGCGCCCGTCACAGAGCCCAACTCTGGACCCCCTTTGGCTGCTGAGGGCAGGTGCTTACTTGATAACAAAGGGGCATGCAAAACACACACACAGCAAAATCGCACCGCCAGCATGGTGCACATCGTATCGTCTGCCAGAGAAACACGATTGAAACAATAATCTGACCCCTGCTTGCTGTCAGCAACGCTACTTCCACGGCTCACAACCAGCATTCTCGAACCATCATCCCCCCAGCCCTGTGACTGTCGAGTACCAGCGACGGCGCGCCAAGGAGATGCGCAAATACTTTGAGGACGCCAAGCTGGAGGTCGCCACCACCAAGGCGCAGTGAGTGATGGGGATGGCGACGCAGGTCTGTTGTAGCTCTTGGCTTGGCTCGGCACGTGCACGGCTGCTTTTTCAAGGGGGCCCTGTTTTCCGAGGGTACTTGCGTCACGTACCGCTAGTGTTTGTAGCTGTCTTACTATGAGTCAGGGCTCTTTTCTACGCACAGGTAATAGAAATTTAGCAAGGAACTTACACGGTAGCCATTGGTTTCCAATTACGTAGGGTGTTTGGATGGACGCCGGACAACGAGATTGGCAACGGGCGCTGGGTCATGTTTGGCTTCTTTGTGGGCATGATGACAGAGTACGCAACTGGGGTGGACTTCATCCACCAGCTGGAGCAGATCGTCAGCTACACAGGTGGGGTGCATCAAGCGAAGGCGCAAATTTGGGCAGTGGGCACAGTACGCCGCACAATGCGGCTGCTTTGCCACAGAATCATAAAGCGTTGCTGCGGGCAAAGCATCCGTGTGCGATGTTGCGCACCTGTATCATGCTCTTCGCTGCCTCAGCCATGTCCTCTGCCGCATTCGTGCATCTCCGCACAGGGCTTTGGGACTTTGAGTGAGCTTGTCCCATGCATCGGAGATCTGGTATAGCCAGTGAGAGGGACGAGAAGCACAAGAGCAGTCGTGAGGTGCAGAGTTTTCGCGGCTTTCCCACATGTGCTACTTGAAGAAAGCGCTGTGCCGTGTTCACATCAGCAGCTGCTGCTTCACATACGCTGCTGGCTTTCTTGATGGCGCAGGGGTGCGGCCTTGGTTGTCGGCCGCTCTAGTTTGCAGGTGCAGAGTGCCCTGCACAGTCAAGCAGCGAATGCTGTTTTTCCTCATAACCCTGTGACGTTGTTGGTTCTGAAGCCCTTGCGCGCATTTGCTGCGGTGCGCAATGCCTGTGGTCGGCTTTCTGGCTTGTCTCCAACACCACTCATCACACCCGCCACAAGGGCGCTGCAACATCAGGTAGCAGCGCGAGGGCTCTCCTGTTAAGCAAGGGCAGGCGGAGTTTGTTCTGTACTGCAGCTCCTGTGCTTGAAATGGGTCACAAACCAGATGCAAAATCAAAACCATGCGCAGCAGAACCCAGCTTCAAACCCAACAGCTGCATGTGCAGCACGCATTCCATAGTGTCAAAACCTGTGCGTGTGGGTGCCAGGGTCTGGTGAGTGCCCACTGCATCCGCTGCCGCACCTCACAGAAGAGCGAGGGCCCTCTGTGCGTATTGAGTCAGGATCTGTGAGCATCCACGGAATATATGTATTGAAGGTTCTTGCAATGTGGACGATTTTGCACCAGTGCTGCCCATGGGACGCCTTGAAGTCTAAGGTGACCAATCGGTCCTGTTTCCTGGCCCCATCCAGGGATGCAATAAAGCTCATCGCGCCTGCGTGCAAATATCACTTGTTGCTTTGGATGTGTGGTGTGTGCAAAGCTGTACGTGGCGGCTGCAACGTCTTTGGCTTACGCCAAGGTACCATGGTTCTGAACGTTTCCAAACAGCAAAGAAAAATGAGGTGTGTGCCCCGCCGCCTGCCAAGCGCTTGACGGAGCTTCCGTGCACTCACTCATCCTTTCTTCGCACCCTGCTCGGGCCACCGGTATTCTCGCATACGGTCTTTGCTTTGAGTCGCAGCCGATCGAACAGCAAGGATGCAGCTCTCGCACACCCCGGTTGCGGCTTGCTGGAGGCGGACGCGGTCTGTGCGCTGTGAGGCCAAGGTCGTGCGCAAAGAGGGAGAGCCTCGAGTTGTTCGCGGCAAGGTCTTCGTGACGAGGGATGTGAGTGCCACTGCTGATGTCGATGAGAGTTGGCAGCGAGCCGCTCTTATCCCGGTGTCCTTCTCAGTTATCCAGTTGCTGCCGCAATATAACTGCTATGCAAACGGGACTAGAAAATGTGTTGTATGTCACATGGCTGGCTGGCGATGGCCCAGGCAGCATGGTTGAAACGACATGCACCGGCGCTGCTGCTGCTGTTTTCTTGAGCCCCGCAGCGCAAATGCAATTGCCTGCTAGTTGCGAGGGCGTCCATGTGCGCGCATGTATGCAACGCAAGCTCATGATGGCTCCGGCTCCATCTTTTGTCATGCAGAACATTGACACTGACCAGATCATCCCGGCTGAGTACCTGACCCTGGTGCCCTCCAAGGTGCGAAATCGGAGCAGGACATAGAGAAGCCAGCATGCAAGCGTACCGGCGAACGGCACAGCTGCAGCAGTTTGTGAACAGGTTTTCTGGTCCAGTAGGTACTTCAAGTGCTGCTGCGCAGATGCATGGCTTGCCCTGCTGTCGCCCACCTGCCAACTGGCCTGCCTCTCAAGCACCGCCCCCCCCCCCACACACACACACACACACGAAAAAACACACGCAGCCCGATGAGTACGAGAAGCTGGGCTCGTACGCCCTCATCGGCCTCCCTGATGACCAGTACCACACCAAGTGAGCTTTGGTCACAGGGCTGCCTGGCGCCATCCCCACTGGCTTTCACCTGTCGGCAGCATCGCACTTCATTGCGCATGTTGCTGTTCCAATTCTCACGCCAGGTTTGTGAAGGAGGGGGCGTTGAAGACGGAATACCCCATCATCATCGGAGGCGAAAACTTTGGCTGCGGCTCGTCCCGCGAGCATGCCCCTGTCGCGCTTGGTGCTGCAGGTGAATTGTGTAGCTGCAAGTCCAGCCACGTGAGCGGAGCAGCCGCCTTGATTAATGATGGCCAGGCCAGAGGCTGCTGCAATGGGTGGGCTTGGACCCAGGCGCCAGGCCACAGCAGTTGCTCAACTGTGGTCAAACGTCATACGAGGGCAGTCAATATCATGATTGATGGCTGCTTGGGTTGTGCACATTGCATTTGCCAAGCATGTAGGGTTCGCTCAGGCCAGCCTGCTTGTCCAACCCACCGTGTTCACCTCATGACAGGTTCCCAGGTGGTCGTGTCGCAGAGCTACGCTCGTATCTTCTTCCGCAACTGCATCTCCACCGGCGAGCTTTACCCTGTTGAGACGGACGTGCGGCTCTGTGACGAGCTCACCACCGGGCAGGAGGTGACTGTGGACATGGAGAAAGACGTACTCGTCAACCACGCAACCGGCAAGGAGTACAGCCTCAAGCCCATTGGAGAGGTGTGCACAGGATTGTGGGCAGGGTGTTGCGGTGGTCTACTGCTTTTGAAGGGATTCTGCTGGAGACCGCCACCTGGCTCTGCTCATTGTTGTTGTTGCTGACAGGCGGTGGTGGATCTTCGCTTGCAGCGGCCCAGGCGCGCAGAGACGGCATAGCATTTGCGGTCTAGCAGATTCTGTACAGCTGCCCTGTTGCTTGGTCAACTCCCGCAAGTGGGTGACGATGCTTGCGTTGCGTTGCCATGACAGCGCTTGCCTGCCACCACCCACCACCCCATCATCCAACATGTCCTGCTCCCCTCCCAGGCTGGCCCTGTGATTGATGCTGGCGGCATTTTTGAGTTTGCAAGGCGGCAAGGCATGATCAAGACGGTTGCTGCCTGAGTGCCCTCCTTATTGTGTGTGTGTAGATACTCGGCTGCTGTGCAGTCAACCGTTGCTGTAACGCATTTGTGAAGTAGCAGGCAATGCCAGGGAGCACTGATCAGTGAAGTGCCTGCAGGACATTGGCAACAATGAAGCACCGAAGCATTGTTGCTGCAGCTTGACACCTCTAGCGACAGGTATTGACCACCCCAATACTTGACTCACTGCATGTTGCAATCAGTAAGGTCACTCCGAGGGCCATGAATCTTACATCGCCATCACAACTCACTGCGGTCGGCCCCTGCTTCAGCGACATTTGCAACCTCCAGGCGTGTGAGCGCCTCGAATGCCACCGAAGCGTGCAGCGCAGCGCCCAGCGCGAGGCGGCCCTCCTCCATTGAGAATTTGGGCGTGTGCAGTCCCGCCAAACGGCCATCTGCGCTGTGACTGTTTATACCCATGAACACAAAGCAGGAGGGTATTCTCCCAATGGAGGTGAACATTGAAAAGTCTTCAGCTGCCATGGTCGGTTCAGCAAGTGGAGAAAAGCGCACGGAGGCCCGTGTTACGTCGGAGTCCCCTCCAAGTGCTGCATCCGCAACTGCCGCAGCAGCCGCCTGCAGGCGCTGCCCCACGCCAGCGACCAGCTCTGCCAGGGCCACGTCGTTGATGAGGGGAGGGTAGGGCAGGGGGCTCCATGACCAGCTCACAGCAGCGCAGCCCGCAGAGGCAGCTGTGGCGTTGACGACCTCCTCAACACGGCGCATGATGCGAGCAAAGGTGGTTGGGGTGAGGGCGCGTATGCTGCCCTGCAGCTCAACCGAGTCTGGGAGCACATTGGACGCACCTGGTCCTGTTGAATATTGATTGCAGATAGCAGTGACGAAGGATATGTACGCGGTTGTGCGTGTATGTGTGCATGCATGCACACGCGCCCTACCACACACATGCTCAAGACTCCATCCCCGCGAATGCGCATGTTTGTACGCGCGATAATGTAGGCGCAGCGGGGCGCACGAGCGACGTGCAACGTCATGAAAGCAGAAGGGGCCAGCTGCCTGGTCGTGAGGGACGATCTTCTGCCATGGGCCCCCACAATAGGGGGGGCATTAATGCTCAGGGCACACATTCATACATGCACTTGGGAGCTGGCACACATGCAAGCCAGTGTGCGTGCCCGCACAGGCAGGATACACATGCACATAAGCGCGCGCACGGCAGCACGCGAGCATGCACGCGTGCACACACATACACACGCACACACGCACACACACACACATACGCACGCACATGCACACATGCACACACGCACACACACACGCACACGCGCACACGCACGCATGCCCACACCAACATGTACACGCCAGTGACATCTGAGGCGCTTGGGAGGCAGTTGACGGGGTCAACGTGACCAGGCGCATGGGTCACGCGCACGCATGCACGTACACACAAGCAAAATCACACTCAAACGTGCACACTTGCCTGTATTGAAGCGCGTGACGCTGATGACGGCGGCGTCCACTGGTGATGTCTCCCGTGACACCAGTGGTTGCAGCGCCAAGACCACCTGTGAGGGTGCGACAAAAGGATAGCACGCAGCAGGCCTGAAACCCCTGTGGGGCTTGTGGCAAACAAGTGATCTGACTCGTGAAATTGTGATTATACAATCTGTACACAGATCCTCTCACTGCCTGCCAACCTGGGAAGCTGCCACCACGGGGTCGACCGTGGAGTGGGGGATGGCTGCGTGCCCACCGCGGCCCTGGATCGTGACGCCGAAGCGTGTGCTGGCCGCCATCATCGGGCCAGGCCTTGTTGCCAGCACACCACTCGGCACAGTGGCGGGATCTGGCCACACTGTGGGTGGAATCGCAGGACCAGTGGAGCAGACGCTTTTTAAGCTGTGTACCGGCGGGCCAATGAGGCATTGGCTGCTGACAGGGCACCCAGCCGGCAGGATATGGGCAACTTGTGCAGGTGCCAAGCAACCTGCACTGCTTGCTCAGAACCACATCTGCTTGACCTTGCTCACCTCCACCCTCTCCACCCTCTCGGCTGCTCACCATGTAGGCCAAAAATGGCATCGACACCGGCCAGGGCCCCGGACCTGACCAGCTCCGCAGCCCCGCCCCGCCCCTCCTCAGCAGGCTGCAGCACCAGCCGCACGCCCCCGCGGCCCGCAGCCACCAGGTCACCCTCGCGTTCCTTGAGCAGTCGCGCGGCGCCCAGCAGCATCGCCATGTGGGCGTCATGCCCGCAGGCATGCATCCTGCCGGGACGCGTGCTGGCAAACGGCAGGCCCGTGGCCTCCTGGATGGGCAGCGCATCCATATCGGCGCGCAGTGCCACGCGGTGGGGCGCAGGACCAATGCGCGCAATGATTCCTGGTGGGGTGGGGTGTGGTGTCCGTTTGTATGTGGCCATGTGCATTGCTTGGGTCTGGCGTTATAAGGCGCTCTGCAATCAACCTGCAGTGGCCCCCATCCGCCGGCGTGCCATATCACAGCATCGGCCCGTTGCATAGCACCTGTGTGTGCAACGGGGTGGTCGTACTCAATGCCAAGGTCATCCAGGGCGGAACGCAGGTACGCCGCGGTCTCGTGTTCCTCAAAGGATAGCTCGGGGATGGCATGGAGGCGCCTGCAAGGGGATTCAAAGAGTCGCCACTACAGGACCGCTGCGAGCATGACCTGCTCAGCTGTTAATGGCTGTCGCAAGCAGCTTTGCGCGAGACAGTAGGGGCATGCAGTTACACAGAACATGTGTGAGCTTCGCCATCGCTGCCCTTCCCTGGGCCGCGCTGGCGATAGGGTGCGCTCGCCTGTAATGCTTCACCAGCCATTCTTGCACTTTGGGTGTGTGGGCTTCTGCCAAGAATTTTGCTTCAACATTCCCTTTGCTGGCCAGGGACGCAACGTCCGGGGAAACCACTGCCGCAGCGCAGCAAGCGGCAAGCAGAATGAGTTGCGCTAGCGGTGGACAAAGGCGCACCACCGCACGGCGTTCCCAATAGCATGAATCGGCGCGCATTTTATTTTCCTTATGCGAACACTGCACATGCGCGAAAGCAACCGTCAGGTGTGATCATTGAAGCAAGGTCTAGATCACCACGTGCCTGCTCTACAGAATTGTTGGGACAGTACACGTGTGCCGAAGGGCATAGATGCATACAGCTCGTGGTATGCTGCTGGACTTCAGTGTGCTGTCAGCAGGAACATACGGTAGTGACTTCTCATCACCCTGGTGCAAATGTTGTTGCTGATGAGTTGCTGAGTACTCAAAGTGCAGCGGAGGTGTGTGCTGCTAAGCGGTGTTGTGCTTAGTTTCGAGGCCGCAGTAGTATTTTACAAATTGCCTCAATCACCATGTTTCCCAGCCCACCGCCAGTCAAACCGCCGCCGCCTATCAGCCTGCTACTCCGTTGCAGGAATGAAGGTGAATTCCATCTCCAACGGCAGATGAGCTTGGTTATAGATATCAGCAGAGATTTACCTGGTACTTGCGGCTGAATCTCTCCCTCAGGGAAGCGATGCACGCATGGCATTAGCGACATGATCCTGCGGCAACGAAGCTGGGGTGAAGCTAGTCCCCTCAACAACGGGCACAACAAAAGCGCTTGCAGCTTCGTAGCTTCCTTGCATGGGAGGCTTTGCACGTTCTGCAGGACGCTGTTTGCACTCAGTAAAGAGCTCATCCTGCTCTGCGTGTGCAACTGTGTTTTGTACTGCAAGCAGCACCGGTTGTGGCGGGAAGGACGATGCAGCAGTGCGGCAGCACCTTAAGACAGAGCATTCAGGACCCAGCCAGCCAGACAGCAGGCAGCAACACTGCACAGCAGCACAGCGACAGTCTGTTGGTGATGTACACAGTACGTTCGCCTGGCAGAGGCGCGACACTACACCCTGCCGCACTCAACTTGGTACCTGTGCTCACTGTGCTCGCGATCGCATCTTGACTTCGTGCACACGCGCAAGCGCCTGGCCTTTACGTCACTGCAACGCACCTCGTCTCATCACCTTGCAAGTGTTGATGACTGGGTACCGCAGCAAAGCAAATGAAGCCGGGCACCCCAGTATCATTGTTGCACTGATTTGGGACGTCCTGTCGACGGCTTCCTGCACAATGTCAGATACCTTTGCTGCGACACAGCCTTGCCTGGGCTGTCTGTGCACGGCAGCTGCAAGCAAGATCTTACTTGCTTGCAGCAGCTTGTCCTGCCGCTCTAGAGCGGCAGGACGCTTGTCCTGCCGCTCTAGAGCGGCAGGACGCAACACAGCTTAAGTGCTGAACCGGCTGAGACCTCCAAGTGCATAATGCACATGTCAAGCGTGGTGAGATTTCCAGATTTTATAGGGTATTGAAAACGTAGATTTTGTGGTGCGTGGTGCAAAATGCAGGGCTGGGGGTGCCACGCCCACAGCCTGAGTGTGTGAAGACGGGGCGCACGCAGTCTTCATCGCGCACAGTCGCCTCGAGGTGCTGTCGTCCGAGTCAGAGTGTGCGGTCCACATTGCAAGGGCGAAAGGAAAGCTGGGAGGGGGGCGCGCTTCAGGCGGGGCGTGCTGCGGCGGTCTGGGGGACGGGCTTGCCGCTGCGGTAGTATTGACAGGGTGCTGCAGGGCAGAGGGGGGCCCGGCGGGCCGGCCCGCCCACTTCCCTGGATTGGCGCTGTGTGTAGGGGGAAGAGCGGTGATAGGGCGCTCTGCGCGGTGATGTGGCGAGGTTCGTCAAGGAATTTGGGGAATCGCGGAATCCTGCAAGGCGATTGGGTGCCACAAGCAGGCCGCGCACTAGAGTTGACAGGCCGCGCACCGGGGGTTAGTTGCAGCGTGGCCGCATGCGCCTTTTATTCGCGCCGGGCGGGGTAAGCAAGGGGCCCTTGCTGCTTCGTCACTGGTGGCTGCCCCTTGATGTAACCGGACCGGGTCGCGGCTTCTCCCTGATTGTTATTGGCACAGTTGCAGCTGCTTGGACGCCCTGCCGCATGGCAGCTGGATCGCTTGCCGCAGCCCCCGCACCTCCTGCATGTGCGTCCCCGAACCCGGCGTCGGCCGCTGCCATCGCTCGTTCGCCAGAAGGGATGCCGTCGCGCGCAGCTCGGCGACGCGCACCTGGCTGCACTCATGCCGCTGCTGACGGACGCGACTGCGGTCAAAACCCGAGCAACAGCCGCCTGCTGAAGGTCCCCATGATCCCCTTGCTTAATTTGTGCACACCCCATCCATGCACAGGAGCTGCTGTCGTAACAGCCCTGTAGCTGCCCGTTCGTCGAGTTTCTCCGCAAATTCCACCTCAGCCACTGGCGCCACTGTGCTATGCCTGCAGCAGCTCCACGTGCACACACGGTGCCCTGGAAATCGGACAGGTTCTCCAGCACGCAGCTGGCAGTGTTTGCAAACGGGAGCGGGCGGGCGGGTGCGAGTGTAAGTGGTGCGCTGGCGGCAGGGTGCATTAATTGCCATGCTTTGTCTAGTTCGCGTGCGCCCGTGCCCCGGCCCCGCCCGGCCCCCCGGCCGCTCCTGGTCTCATGCCGGTCGGGTTCAGGGCGACGCGCTCGTCGCGGTGCGGACGGTCGGCGGGCGGGAGACAAAACGGCACGTAGAAAGTTGTTATTCAAGATGCGACAGCATCATAAACCATAATTTGAGCGGATTAACAGCCGATAGTCATGCAAAAAGGTTTCAACGCACTTGCAATGCTGCACATGCACAGGACGGCGGCAAAGCTGAGAAGCTGACCAGCAGACCTTGATGGGCGACAAAACATGTCGGAACATAATTGGGAGCTTTGTGAAGGCGAACAGTATAGTGTACAGGCAAGGTGAGCTCATCCACACTGTAAAGCTGAGCTTCGTTGTTCTCACTCATTTGATCTACATTCGTCAACTCGACTGCTCTCATCCGACCGAGGCGCGCTTGGCGCCCGCATTATAGGTCGAGCGGAAACGCGAAGGAGAACGTGGTCTTGCTCCCCACGGTGCGTGTCTTGACCTGCGCTTGCCAACGTGCTGCAAGGGGCGTGATCCAGGGCTTGTCTCCGCAGACTCGCTCTCCTACTGGCGTGCACCCTCCTGCATTTCACTTGTATTTTACAAGTTGTCGCACGCGCGACGCGATGTGTGGTAGCCGCCAGCTGTGGAGTCCGCCGTGCCGGCCGTCACATGGCGCTCTGGTGGCGGCGGGGTCGCAGCCACGAAAGCAGGCGTGTCAAACAGATACATTGATATGCTGAGCTTTGTGCTGTGTCGTCTGTTCCATCGACTGCAGGGTATCAAGTCGAGCCAACTGCACGGGAACAGCATGCAGCAGCTGCGCGCCCCCAAGCAGCTTGGCGCTGCTCGCGCGCGCCCGGCGCGTCCCGCCCCGCCGCGTGGCCCCCTGCGTGTTCGCGCGGCGGCCGCGGTGGAGAGCAGCCCCACGAGCGCCACCCAGGACGCCGCCAGCTTCACATCGCATGTCGTCGGGGAGGAGGTGTGCCATAACAAACTGTGCCCAGGCCGGTGCCGGGTTCACTCGCATGAGTCAAGTGCAATGCCAGGGGCCCGCCGGCATGTTTAGCGTGCACTGAACAGTCCAGTTGCCCACGCTTGCGCTCTGTGCTTTCCTGCCCGCACCCACAGGCAAAGTACGTGCTGCAGACGTACGCGCGGCCGGCTGACGTGGTGTTTGTGCGCGGCGAGGGCGCCAAGCTCTATGACGCGGGCGGCAAGGAGTACCTCGACATGGCCGCGGGTGGGCGCAGCGCTGAGGAGGGCAGGGGGTCGATTACGGGGGTTGGAGGCCTGCTGCTTGGCTGGTGGGCTGCTGCCGCCGCTGCTGTTACTGCTGCAATTGCGGCTGTCGACAGAAGTGCGCACGCTGCACGGGCAAGCGGCCAAGCTTTTGGAGCTGTAGGCCTGGCGCGATCAGGGCAGCGCACTGCAGCTGTGCAAGCGGAGTTGCGCACTTGCTACTGTATTGCGCTGTGCGATTGGTGCAAGGCACTGGACGCCCACTGGTCCACTCTCAGCCCCACCCTGCCCAGGCGAGCTACCCTTGCGTCTGCCTGGCAGACTGGGCGCACTCCAGGTTACCTATGATGGGCCTTTGTTTTTTGTGAGCTGTGGTATGGCATCCCGTTTCATCGTGGCTGACAACGCCCCCAACACCCCATGTTGCTGCAGGCATCGCCGTGAACGCGCTTGGCCATGGTGACGCACGCTGGTACGAGGCCCTGTCGCGCCAGGCCGGCATCTTGTCTCACACAAGCAACCTATTCCACACCGTACCCCAGGTCAGGCGGACACAGTGGGCTGGGTGCAGGATGACTTGACAAGGGGGAAGCCACACGGGCGAGACCCGTGTCAACTTGCTAGCCACTGACACATTTCAGGCCTTTTCATAGCTCGCTCTACCCAACAACTCCCTTCGGTCAGGCTGCCAGACTTTGTGCTGCTATGCTTTTTCTCACGTGCCCATCTGGGGCGGGCCCTTCACAGACCCGCCTACGCCCCCCCCCCCCTCTCACCAGGTTGAGCTGGCCAAGCGCCTGGTGGAGAAGTCCTTCGCCGACAAGGTATTCTTTTGCAACAGTGGCACTGAGGCCAACGAGGCCGCCATCAAGTTTGCACGCAAGTACGCCCGCGTGCATGCCGGCATCGACCCTTACGACCCCCACGCCACAGCGCCCCACGAGATCGTGTCGTTTACCAACTGCTTTCATGGGCGCACCATGGTGAGGGGGCAAGAGGAGACACCTCCGACAGATAGAGGAGGGATGGACGTGGAGAGGCGGCCGTTTCGCGCCGTTTCCCGCGCCTTGCCCGCAGGCATGCCTGCCGCAGCAGGCACATAAGGGCCATGCGCACGTACCTTAGCCTGCTGCACCAGTTGATATCCAGTATCATCCCTGATGTCGTCCCTTCGCCAATTTGCGGATCTTCTGCTGTGGTACTGCCACACTCCCCAACCACCTGCTAATCAGGATTCCTACTCCCAATCCTCCCTCTTACCCACCCGTGTCGTCCAACCCAGGGTGCCCTGGCCTTGACGTACAAGGAGCAGTACAAGAGCCCCTTCCTGCCCGTCATGCCGGGCCACGTCCTGGCGGAGTACAACAACCTGGAGTCTGCGGCGGCCGCCATCAAGAAGGGCAGCACCGCCGCAGTGTTCGTGGAGCCTGTTCAGGTGCTTTTTTGGAGGGAGGAGTGGGGGGTCCAGGGCGGAGATGGTCGGTCAGACAAGCATGAGGCATCAAGGCTGGCCTCTTGGTGCTCCAGCCGGGTTCCACGTTGACTGTGCTCAACCACAAGCCTGGCCTGCCCAACCCCCAGCCCAGCCCAGCCTGCCCTCTGCTAAATGACATACACCTTCCCTGCCGCCCCAAAAAACCAGGGTGAGGGCGGCTGCACCCCCAGCCAGGTGGCGTTCCTGTCTGGCCTGCGCTCCCTTTGTGACGAGGCGGGCGCCCTGCTGGTGTTTGACGAGGTGCAGTGCGGCCTGGGGCGCACCGGCAAGCTGTGGGGCTACGAGAACTATGGCGTTGAGCCCGACGTCATGAGCCTGGCCAAGCCGCTGGCAGGGGGGCTGCCCATTGGCGCGGTGCTGCTGAAGCAGGCGGTCGCGGACGTCATGAAGCCGGGTGGGCGGTTGGCAGCGGGAGGGGGGTGGGGCTGGGGGTTTGGCAGGGCGGCGGGCGGGCCAGAGTGGGGGCAAGACGTGTGGAGACGCACGCAGGACAGCGTGCAGAGTCCATTCAGTGAGCAGGTGTGCGTATGCTGGCATTTCCTAATCATGCGTTACCAGGTTGCAGTGCACTCACCACCCATGCCAACTACCGTCATTTGCGCACGGTTTCAAACCATTGCTCACACACTCGTACCGCCGCGCCTCCACATACATCCCCCGCGCGGCCTACTTCTCTCCCTCTCCCTCCTCAGGCGACCACGGGTCCACGTTTGCGGGCAACCCCCTGGTGTGCGCCACCGCAACCGCCGTGGTGGACGTCATCAGCGACCCGGCCTTCCTCGCCTCGGTGGAGGCCAAGGGCGAGCGCCTGCGCGCCGGCCTGCGCGCGGCCACCGCGGGCAACCCCCATGTTTTGGAGGTGCGCGGCGTGGGCCTGCTTGTGGGCGTGCAGCTGGACGTGATGGCCGGCAAGGTCGTGGAGGCAGCCCGCGCCGAGGGCCTGCTCATCATCACGGCCGGCAAGGGCGACGTGGTGCGGCTGGTGCCCCCGCTGGTCATCAGCGACGAGGAGATTGACCACTGCTGCCGCGTGCTGGCGGGTGTGCTGGCCAGGCTCGACTCCCTGTGAAGTGGGTGCCCCTCTGTAGGGGCTCCTTGAGACAGGTGTGGCCAGCCACTGAAAGTCGCGGCCGCCAGCTTAAGCAGGAGGAGCTGGGCCACTGAGAAGACGCCTGCCGCCATACGTTGAAGAGTCAAGGACGGCACGAGTTTGGTTGCCTTTGCATGGGGTTGGTGGTGGCTTATTGTCTTGCAACCACGCAAGGACATTGGTTGAGCGGTATGTTTGAGCGCGCATACATAGCACTTGGAGGATACAGTGTCTCAACCCTGCCAGTCAGCACACATGCGCTGTGATTCTTGAAAGTCGTTCTGCTGAGCATGGCTGTGGAAATGTGGAGCGAAGACGCGCTTGTTTGAGTGCGTGGCCAGCTTGCTGGGTACTTGCCACACCCTGATCTTAGCCACCTGTTCAAGTGTTACATACACATTCTTGTGTCCACTGCGTGACGGCCATGCGCACACACACGTACATGTCTCTCACACACCTGAGCACACAGGGACAACTAGTGAGTGGAAATCACTTTGCCAAGGAATTTTGTCATGAAACCTGAACATCCTGCGGCATTGCAGCGATTCGCAAGGCAAGAAATGCAACGTGCAACAGAACAGTTGGCACGCCAGGGTGAACACATATGCATTTGCACAGAACAGCAGATGCACACCTCCTGCAAAATCTGCACACGCCTTCAAGGTTGCTGCCAGCATTGAGCACATCAAGACTCCAAGTTGGCAATGACAGCCGGTGTCACTGCACGACAGGGTACTATGTGTGCTTTACGATGCATGTTGGTGGAAATGTTCTGGAGCAGCTCAGCACTGGTGAGAAAACTCAAATGGGCCTTGGAGATGAGACGCTGCCAGGCCCGTGTGTCCCGGGGCCCCTCACGCCCACCAGGTCAAAAACGCCTGGCACAGGAGCATCCAACTCATCCGCCCCGCCAGTTCTGGCGCCATCGCCAACCTCTGGAGCGGCGGCGACAGTTGCAGGTGTGACATCAAAGACTCCAGGAATGGGGCTCTGTGACTCAGGGTTGGGCGCAGGCTGGTCAATCGGGGACGACGCCGGGGATGGTGCCAGAGGTCCTGTGGTGTCACCGGTTGTGCTGGATCCCGAGGCATCAGCCGCAGCGGTGAGGTTCAGGTAGGGCTCTTGTGGCTGGCCGCTGACAGCCTCCGTTGATCCTGATTCATCCCCTACAGGGCCCGGTTGTGGCGGGGATGCTGGCGGAGCAGCTGTGCCATTGGCTGGTGTGCTGCCAGGTGCAGCGATCGGCGAAAAGCCGTCCGTCGCCTGGGCAACTGTGAATACGTCCCCAGGACCTGCCACGAATGTGCTGGGTGGCTTCAACTGGATGGCCGATGTCGCCACTGCCGAATTACCCTGTGTAACTGCGGTCACCATCACCTGGCCTGCATCACCAGGTGCTGCTGGCTGTGGCTGTGCCGACACCGCGCCGCCTGCTGAAGCAGCAGCGGCGCTCGCTGGCACATCTACAGTGGTGTCGCTGCACGCCTTGATGCAGACTGCTGCGTCTTCAAAGTTGTTGGCATTTCCGCCGCAGCCACCAAATACAAAGCGCCGGCAGGTTCCCCGTCCAGAGTCAAAATGCCAGCGGTACACAACAGCGCCGCAAGGCCCCGCATCACTGGGCAGGGAGCATAGTGCCGAACCACCGCTGCTGGTGGTGGTGGTGCCGCTACTGCTGCTGCTGCCGCCGCCGCCGCTGCTGCCGCCGCTGCTACCGCCGCTGCTGTTGCTGCTGCCACCAGCGCCACTGCTACTTGCACTATTGCTGCTCGAGTCTGTCGCTGGAGTGATGCCGTCGGCTGCATCGTGCAAAAGTCTCCTCTTCCTGAGGTCAGATATTCTGCATTTGCAAGCGGCCAAGGAAGGAGCAGGGATTTGGATTTGACATGCAGGGTCTGCTTTCTTGGAGACTCAAAGGCTCAAAGCGCGCAACAAGTGCGGACGATTGGCAGACTGTGAGCAGCAGCTTGTCCCACATGACGCACAGCAGCAGCAGCGCGTAGCCCTTGCAACGCTCACCCGTCATGGCCAACAACGTCCACAATGCAGTGCCGCAACACCACAGTTCCTCCAAGCTGCTCCTCCATGCTTCGCCGCGTGCCCACCAGCGGCGTGCTGGCCACCACCTCTCTCAGAGCACCCGGCAGAGCGGGTGATGCGGCGGCCCTGAGGCGCAGCAGGTACGGCAGCTGAAGGGGCACACCAAGGGCACACTGCTCCAGGGGCATACCCTTGATTGCCATGACTGCTGGCACAGACTCAGGGTCCGCGCTTAAAACTGCTGGGTCTGCATCTGCAAACACGCACTCAACCTGGATGGTGGCCACGGGCGACTTGCCCTGTGCGCTGCCGTCCTCCTCTGACAAGGCCTGGGGCCAGTCGCATGACAGTAGGCGCGCGCTGACAATAGTTTGGCGGATGTCGCGCTGTGTTGCTGCCGTTTGCAAGACGGCGGCTCCCCTTTGGCTTCTGCCTTGTGTGCCGCTCCGTCTGCGAAGAAGCAGCTTGCGCAAGGGCGCCGCTGTAGGTCGCGTAGTCCGTGCTGCCGTTGAAGCTACCAGCGCTGTCAACAGCAGGATATTGGCAACTATTCCCAAGAAGCGCGCCATCCATGCGCCTCCCACAAAACTTGCGAGCAAAACAGCAAACGCGAGCTCCGAGCCTGTTGCGCAAATGCTCACTTTTCTTTTCACCTCTACCCAGCGTTAAGACCTTTGTGAAATAATATGATCAAATACACTCGCAAATTCGCACACCTCCGTGCCGTGGTCAAGTTGGTCAACTGGGGCATGCAGCCTGTTTCCCATTGAATCCCTCGGGGACTTGAAATCAATCCCTCGGGAACCCTTCGGAAATCATGCATTTTGTATAAAATTTCACGCGTTTCCCATTCCCCCGGGGATCCTTCGGGGCTGCCGTGCTGACCTGGCTGCCTTGCGGTCAACAACGGGTGTAGTGATACATAATGTGCGTTTATGTGCTTGTGGACTGGCCAGCTGACGCAGTTTGTTGAAAGGACATTGTTTAACCCGCGCCCACTCCCATACAGCTTTGCTTGAATTGTGCAGTCAGGTGTGCTGTCTGCGGGTGTGAATGATCACGTGTATGCAGAGATAACAAACTCAAAAGCCTCACGAGGCCCCGAGGAATCCCGGGGACCCCCTGGAGGTCCCCAGAAATCCCCGAGGATTGCCGGAGGAATCCCGGTGTTCGGGAAACGCAAATTTCCCTCGGGGCCCAAAGTTCCCGAGGATTGCCAGAGGAATATGCTTATGGGAAACAGGCTGATGGAGACGTGCGCTTTGTAGCAGCTGAAGGGAGTCACAGTGTTGCAGTTGCCATGGTATGCCCTTTTATCAGCTTCCGGCCCGCGTCAGACTTGTTTTTGCGACGACCAGCTAATAGACTTGACAACCACGTGTTGGATCGCCGTCGCTGTCCGGCGTGCAAGGCCAGCGCCGGTTTGCCTTCATTGCGTTACCTTTGATACTGGAACTTGGAGGGGATTGAAGTCTTGCGCAAATTGCAAATAATTGAAGGTTGCGCCAGGTATGAGCCTTTCAGGTTGCTGCTAGCAATTGCACCTGTCCTCGCACCCTTTTGATATCAAAAGGATGCGAGCAGCGCCTCGACGTGTGCAGCGGTGCCATTGTATGAAACCACTTCTGAACACTCGAGTGGAATATATTGCACATGAGGTTGCATGTGCTTGGGGTTCACCACTTGGTTGCCATTGGCACTTGCAATATGCCACGATGGGGAAGTTTATTTGTGCGCACGTGAGCGCGCGCATTGTGTCCGCCCGCAGGTGGTCGTCAGCGCAAGCAGGAAGCAGCAGGCGGGCCAAATACTTCCACTACCGAACTTGTATTGTGCTTGTGTTCATCGAGGTGTGCGCCCGCTTCACTGCGTCGAGGTGCTAGGTGATATGAAAAACAGCGGCCCGCTTCAACACCTCGAAGACAGCACGCACTCTTTAGCACCTGCGTCTATGGTTACTCTGCGCCAGTCTCCCCGTTGATCCCTCATCTGAGATCGCACAATGCTCGCACTAGGCCGGGCAGGTGTGCCCACGGCCGCCTTCGCGGCCTCCTTGCAGTGGCCTGCCGCGTGGCACGCATGTGACGCTGTTGCGGCTGCGTGGGGCGCAGCGTGCAGCCACAGCGGCAGCAGCAGCGGCAGCAGCGGCAGCGCGAGCAGCAGCGGCAGCACGAGCGGCAGGGACAGCCTCAGCGGCAGCGGCAGCCTCAGCGGCAGCAGCAGCCTCAGCGGCAGCGGCAGCGGCGGCAACAGCATCGGCAGTGGCTACCTTCCCGGCACTGGCATCCTGGCCCGCGCAAGCTTTGCGCCTTGCCGGTGGTTCAGCTTGTCGGCTGCAGTCCAAAAGCAACAGAGGCAGCAGCGAGGCACGGCGGGGCGAAGCCAGCGGGCGCAGGAACTGAAGCAGCGCTTGTTGGAGAAGCAGGAGCGGCAGCGGATCAAAAAGCTAAACGCTCCTATCAGACTTCAGGAAAAAATGGAGATGAATGCCATCAAGCAAAAAGAGAGGGATCTGAACGCGTCGGTGCGCTCGTTCGCGGTCATGGAAGCCATGCGTGCAGCCAAGCAGCCGCTGACGAGGCACGAGCTGTTCGCAGCCCTGCCAGTTGAGGAGGGCGTCGGCCGTGGAGGCATCCGGTCTACCCGGCACCTGAAGCAAGTCATCGATTACATGAAGCACCGGGGCTGGGTCAGGCCGCGGCCTGGGGCGGCGAGTGGTGAGCCCTACGTCTTCATTCTGACGGAGAAGGGCCAGGCGGCGACCCTCCGCGAGATGGTGGAGAACCGGCAGCGGAAACTGGCGGTGACGCGTGTCCGGGTGTTGCTGGAAGATGATCGGTAGTAACCGTGGCAGCTGAGCAGGTGGGCTGGATGGTTAGACACACCCGTGAAGGCCCACTGTAATTGCACGTTCAGCTCAAGCTTTGTTTGGACGAGATGTATCATGTATGGTTGTGCGTTCCATGTTCATTGTCAGCCCTTCCAGCTGTCAAGCACAGGGCACCACCAGCAGCCAGCTTTTGGTAGCGACCGCAGCGGCCGTCCAGCAGCAGTAGCATCAGCCAGGTGACAGGGCGATGGCAGGACAAGGTACAGGCGCGGCCTCCGTGGCAGAAGCGCAGAACCAGCTACATCAGCAGAGACACTGCAGCTTGCAAAGAAATTGGGATGACACCACATGTATGTATGGGGGCCCTGCGTTTGTGTTGCTGAAAAGGGTCAGCGGCATGTTGTCAGGACGCACGCGCCCCACAGCCTCGCAACACACTCGGCTGCGGCACCAGCATCGCCGCCGTAGTACGCATCCTATAGCTTGCAATGCGCAGGCATTGTCGATTCTCGGAGTCACTGCGACATCATAAGATAGGCAAAGCCGCCAGACTGCAGGCTGCATCAAACCGCACCACCCTCACGATGCACGCCACCATCTGCTGCTGGCGCTCTATGTGCAAGTGCAGTGTGGATGTCAAACCCACGAACAATTGGGCCACATATCTTTCTGAACGTTCCCTGCTGCATTTCAGCGTCAAAGCACAAGGCCATAGGCTCATGTGTTGCTCAGGTGTGCTGGATTGCAATGTGTGCGTTGGGGTGAGGGGGAGTTGTGGTCAATGCTTTGCTGTAGGGCCTGGGACCACGCCGACCATGATGTCACAACGCAGCCCCAACCCATATCCTGATTCCAAAAACCGGCTTCCAAAAAAACTTCTGGAGTGAAGCAACGGTACTGCGGCAAACACAGTGCTTACAGTAGACAGATCTCAGATCTACGGTAGTTCAGAATCATCCGCAAAAATTCTGAAAGACATTTTATATGCAATTTGTCTACAATCGTACGCGAAATCGGTGCTTCGATATGTCACGGCCGCCCTGCTCTTTACGGTATCGCAGTCTGGAAGCGTTCCACACTCACTCATTGGGACGAGGCCCGCGTGCCTGCACACGGTTTGCTGTACATTGTTCACAGCATCAGTTCGGGGTATCGACCGGTTTTGCAGCTCAGCTGGGGACCAGCTGTGACTGGAGTGCCAATTGTCAGCCGCTGCGTGCCACACGGGCAGCAACACCGTCTGGCAGCGCAAGCCGCACGAGTGAGCAGCAATGTCTGACCAGAGGAAAAGGGCACGCCAGGAGGACGAGGTAGACGATGCCATCAATGCGTTAGAGCAGGCGGCTGGCAAGGAGGACGGAGCCGACAAGGCGCGGGCGCTGCGCGGCCTTACGGTGCGGTCAGCGCTTGTTCGCTGACATGCAGACGTGTGAGCATGCTTGCACACACTCACGCACGCACACAATTATGCGCGCGTGCACGCAAACGCACATATGCGCGCATGCAGACGAACGCAAGCGCACGCTCGCGCTCTCACCCGCACAAGTAAGCTAGTTACATGCGAAAGCCCACGTGCGTACTCACATCGCAGTGCCGCCAATGTTTGGCGCCGCCTCTCCCTCAATTACCGCAGGCGCTGATAGAGCCAACCGATGAGTCCTACGAAGTGCAGCGCCGCACTGCAGAGCGCGCGCTCCCCGCCATTGTGGAGGTGCGCCGCCGCTGCTGCCTCACGCGCACCGCATTTGCAGCCCCACAAGCTCCCTGGGCCCCGCCTCCATCATGCAGTCCCATCAAAATCGCCGAGACAACAGGGCAAGGTAGCCGCGCCCCCTGGCCTGCGGAGCAAGTCATAGCAGCCTTCCTGATGATATGCCGTCCTCCCGCCACCTGATGTGCCCTGGTGACTTGCCACCACACTCACGTTTGCCCCCCGTCCCCCGCCCTGCAGCTGCTGAAAGACGATTCCCAGGCCGTGGCTGTGGAGGCTGCCACCTGCCTGGCAGCCCTGAGTGACCACGCGGGCGCGGTCAAGGACCGCCTGGAGGCGGGCCACTTTGCGGCCACCCCCGAGAAGGTGGCGCTCAACCCGGTGCAGGAAGCGGCCGGGGAGCTGGAGGGCCTGTTCAGGTGCCTGAGGATCGGGACAAGGACGTTGGGAAGTGCGCGTGTGTGTGTGGGAGGGGGCGCGCAACTGGCAGGAGAGGACAGGGCGTCGGTGACTATTTGAGGCAACCAACAGATGGGTGATTTCAGGCAGGGAGGCACGCGGAGAGCAGTGCGATATGGCCCATGCCAGGTGTGCGTGCAATTGCTGCATGCGTGACTGGCGCTGCAGCTCTCAAGCCCTCCAAAAAGCCATTCCCAACTAGCTTGTTGCCTTCATCGCGGCCTGCACCCTGCCTCTTTCCTCACCTCCGCCCCCCCCGCCGTC